AAAATGCTAAATTAAGTAATTTAAATTGATCTAAGAAAGCATAAAAATATAAATTAACAAATACCAAGGTTAGTAATATTTGAATAAAAATATTTATATATCACAAAAATTAAAGTTCCATAAGCTAATTTACAATCCAAATATAAGATTCAACTTTTAAAACAAATGAATTAAAATTTTAATAAAAATATAGAGGAACAATAATATGAAACTTGAAACACACAAGTGATGCAAAAATAACTTTAGAAAAGACTTTATATCACAAATAAACAACTTAATGTCAATTTTTTATCAATATAAAACGTAACTTAAAACCTCAAATCCTTCAACTCTTTAATTATTTTTTGGCGCGCCCTACTGAAATGATGGATAAAATCGAGACTAGTAAAACGACACTTTTCCCCAGTTTCTTGCTCAATGTCTTTTATCTAGTTTTTAGTTTCGAGTTAATTGGCTGTCGCATTCAAAAACTCAAAAGAGATGTTCGATACTTAAACGAAAGAAAAATAGAAGTTTGAATAAAAATGCATCAAGGACGTCAAAATATTAATACTTGAACTTCTTTGTCTCTTGTATTATAAGTTATTGAAGTATTTATCGTGCTAAAGCAATAGATACGGCTAATTTATTTCAGCTTTTGATATGATAATTATTGATTAGTATTTTTTTTTACTTAAAGATAATTGTTTTGATAATTTACCTGTAGAATATTTTTTAAAAAAGTGCGGAAATGGAAATAACTTGCAAATAGCCAAAATTCGATTTTAAAGGTAAAATGTGAAAGATCTATTAGCATTCTAAATTTCGAGTTTTTACAATGGATAGTCAGGAAAGTCCGGAATTAATATTTTGTTTTGACAATTCTCTACAACTTTTAGTAATAGAAAGTTACCGAAAGACACATAAAATTTATTTCTGGGTGAAAAAAATTTAATGAATGAATCAACTAATTAATGAATGAATAACTTAATGGAATGAATGAAAGAATCAATGACCAAACAACCTATCAAAACAATGAATGAGAGAGTCAAAAAATGGAATTAACTAAATCATTTTTTTTCATGATTCATTCATAAATTATTTCACAGGTTAATATTACCTGTATTATTTCACAGATATTTTGACTCAATCATTCATTGTTTCCACTCATTCATTGATTCGCTGATATGCAGAATTCTGTCATATTTATTAATAAATTGTTGAAACGATTCATTCATTGAACGCTTTATTCCTTCATTCATTGATATGTCTTTTCATTGATTCCCTGTTTCATAAATCAACTTAATATCTGATAATCTAATTTACTATTTCTCATTCATTAGTTTGTTTATTCATTGATTTGGTGATTCACTGATTCTCGCCTGGAATTAATTATGTAATTCAATTGCTCATTTGTGGAATAAAAATCTATCTATATACTTTAAAATAAAAATACATATTTTTTACTACAATTCTCTTTTTTATAACTAATTTTACTTAAAAATGTCAGTTAAATCTCGGGTGAAACATATTGTGTTTCTCTATATAATAATTAACTTTTGAACTTCACTTTATTTGCTTCAAAACTCAAACAGATTATGTTTTTGGAATCTCGTCTTCATTAGTAATACATTATATTACGACAGCTCTTTTGTTTTTTCTTCACTTAAATTTTATATTTTGACACGTAATATGTTTTTACTGTTTCACTTTTGATATAATCATCATCACAGTTGGCCAGACAGCCCAATGCGAGCCAATGCCTTCCTCTGAGGATTTCTCCATGACGACTTCCGATTTATCTTTGATCTCACTTTTGATAAGGGTTCTAAAAATATGTGTTGAGAGTGCTCACTACGAAACAACCAGTACACAAAAATATTTTTGAAGTTTTAATTATAAAAGTGACTAAAAAAATTTCTTAATTTAAACGAAAATGTGACAAAAGTTATAAAAGTGACTTAATTTAAACATCCAAGTAGAATTCTACACACTTAAAACTTGAGAAGATTATTAGTTGTGTGAAGTCGAAACAAAATGAATTATGCTCTTCCATTCTATTTTCGAAATGGAATGTTTAAAGTTAATTGCATTCATACTTCAAAGGAAGATGTTCACAAACCTAAAAATGACGTTTAGGTTTTGACCGAAACAAATGTTAAACAATTTTCCTTCAATTAAAGATTCTGCAAATAGAACTTAACAACTTTCGATACATGTGATGTAAAATTTAAGTTATTTCATTATAATATAAGCCGAATATCCGATCTTCAATTTTTGGAAACATCAAGAGAATTTTCAAAAAGTGTAGTTTATTATTATTATTGTTTCTGCTTCCTGACCACTGACTTTTCAATATTAGATTCGTGAAAAGAAGTTCGATGAATAAAAATAAAGATTAATTATACTCAGTGTCACTTGGTACCGTAAAACGTGTAACACATGAACGTGACAGTTTTATCACAATCAAATATTTTCTCAATGAATGAGCACTTCATAACCTAATTTTTTTTAGAAACATGTTTTTTAGATTTATAGAAACATGTTGTAAAAGCTTAACCATAAACAAATTAAACACGTGATTTAAGATATTTCTCAAAACACTCGGTGAAATCACACCCACATGCTATCCAGATTGATTTCCCCTGTGTAATATGACGTAAAAAATAATACGTAAATAATCCAATAACTCCCAACGAGACTCGTTTTTTTGTGACTAAATTGAGCTGTAATCGAAAGAAAAAAAAACTCGATCGTCAGTAACTTGTATACAGCAATGAGTAATACTAACCGTAAGAAATCAAACACACATACTATTCAGATTTATTACCCTTGTTTAATATGACATAAGAGACAATAAGTAAACAATTTAAGAACGTGCAATAAACTCCCAATGAAACTCGTTTTTTGAATAAATTGAGCTATAATCGAAAACAACGCGATTGTCAGTAGCTTATATACAGTAATACTAAGCGTAAGAAAAAAACCTTCTAAACTGATGAATTTTAAAAAAATGAATTATTTTAAGGATTAGGAATTAATATTGCTCCTTGTACTCGTTGTTCAAGACGCACAAACTCTATCATTTACTATTAGGATGTGACTGAAATTGTTTTACGATAAGAAAAGTTTCATCTAAGAAGTATGTAAAAAGAACAGAAATGAGTATATCAATGAAATAATTGTTTAGGTATATTCAAGAAGAGAATATACCCGTTTGACTATATTTGATTACCTTTTTTCTGAATATTAGATCATAAGAACATTGAATGTAATTTTATATCGCCATTTCTGCTAATATTTTTTCTGTCTATAGGTACCTTATATTTGATCAAGTTAGGTAACTAACTAAGCAGATATTAGTAGATCATATAAAATTTTCTCATATAATGTTTTATTTTATGGGAAAATGTTACGTCTGAAAGTTTTACACCTTAAAAATGGGAAATACTACCCCTTCCAAGAAGAAATTGATCATGAAATAAATTAATACTTTTCCAAGTGAGTATCATCTGCTCTAGTGACAGTATTACTAATAAGTCAATAAAGAAAAGCAGACTCCTCATTAATTTATGCATTCTCAGTTAAATTAAAAATTAAAAAAAGGATTTGTCAGAAATGTTTCATTTGATCTTGTCTTCGTAGATTTAATCCTGTCGAAGACCTTGTTTGAGTGCAATAAATTTGAATAAAATAAAATTGATTCAGAATGTTAGTGTAATAAATTAATAACAATAATTTTAATTAATAAAACATAAATTGATAGCAATTTTACTAATTGTTGAAAGATGGATAAATGAAAATGACAGCACTATGTATTGAGGCTTACTACGTCTGTATCATTTGTATTTACGAAAAGAAAATTAGGATTTTTTTTGTTCCAACCAATCAGACAAATTTAAAAAAAGTATTTTTTTTATTTTCAATAATAGTGATCTTTTAGTCAAAGGTTTTGTTAAAAATCCCTCATTTTATTCTGCATGACTAGATTTGATCCAATCGTAGATCGTGTATGAATGCAATAAATTATAATAAAACAAAATCGTTGTATATAGTGTATGTAATAAATTAATAGCAATAATTGTAGTTAATAAAACACAAAGTAATAGCAAATTTACTTATAATAATAAGGAAAGTTGAATAAATGAAAACGACCATACTTAACATTCTGACTTAGTACGTCTTTTCTTCATTTGTTTTTACGAAAAGATAGTTAGGAATTTTTGTTCTAATCAATTAGACAAAAAAAAATATTNAATGAAAATGACAGCACTATGTATTGAGGCTTACTACGTCTGTATCATTTGTATTTACGAAAAGAGAATTAAGATTTTTTGTCCATTGTATTTACGAAAAGAGAATTATGAATTTTTGTTCTAATCAATTAGACAAAAAAAAATTTTTTTTCATTTTCAATAATAGTGATCTTTTAGTAAAAGTGTTTATAAAAATTGCTGAATTTCATACTATTGAAGCTAATGTTTGAGTGCAATGAATTTGAATAAAATAAAATCTGTAAATATTGTATATGTAAAAAAAACTATAATTCTAATTATTAAAACAAAAAATGATAGCAATTTCACTAATTATTGAAAGCTGAATAACTGAATCTTTGCATTTAATACATACATTTTAAATTAACACAAAAAATGTACTTGTTATAGATACAAATATTAATAAAAATATTTCGAATTATAAAACATCAAAATAATACAAGCGCACTAAATATTAAAAACACAAAATAGTAGCAATTAGCAATAATGCTAAGTATTAGGAAATGAATTTATAAAAACAATGCTACTAATTATTGGGAGAAAAATTAATGACAATCTTACTAATAATGAACAAAGAATTATTAATTAATGTATTAATCAATGAAAGACAAATTAATAAAGCATTAGTACTAAAGCATCTATTAGCAATAATAATATTATTTGGGTTTCATATTGACTAAATACAAAATTGTATAGGCTTTTAAATGTAAAATTAAGTTTAAATTGCAAAGATTCCTTATTACTCACTATAAAGTTGAGACCACATCCGATATGTAGGATTCTCCTTTTCATTTGGATATTTCATAAACTGTGGAATAATAATTTCTCCAGACGATGAATTCTCAGTTAAGTTGAAATTGCTTGAGTTTTCTTTTTTACGTACTTCCGGAATGTATCCTGCATCCATTGATTGAAAATCGTTTGCAAACATCTTTTTTAAACGATTTCACCAATTTTCATATAAAATTTCAATTTTACACTAAAATGTCAAGTTGGCAATAAAAGTTTAATTGGGAAGGTGAAGGGAAGTACTTAAAAGTCGTGAAAATATGAGGAAAATTACAATTTTTCTGAAAATAATATTATAAATAAGAGAACCACGAGAAATGCAAGTGACAGTCACAAAATTATATATCTCTATTTTTCTTTGAAAACAAAGTCGATTTCTAAGAATATACACTTTATGGCAGTTTAAAAACTAATGTTTATCAAACTATAAAGTTAAAAATATCTTATAATTATTTTTTGCAAAAAAAGTGCTAATTCTTTATAGAATATTTCTCTACTTTTTCTGAAAACAATATTGATGCAGCTATATATCAGTTTTATATCAAAATAAATTCACGATCTAAAACAAGAAATAGTTTTGTATCCTTCTAAAATTTCGATTTGCTTAGATGCGAAAACATAACAATGTATCAAATTTCCAAAGAAGAAAGTTTTCGATCTTTAGTTTCTCATGCGCTCTACAACAATGAAAGCAATCGCATCCGAAAACGATCCTCGTGCTCCTCGTCAGGGTTGCCATAGACAAGATAGTAGTTTAGAATTCTAGAAATATCGTTTGGCGATTTTGTTTCAGCAAACTATTTTTTGAAAGTTATTTTATTTTAACATTTGGAGCTGCGGTTAATTTTTTTGTCCTCTATTTCTTCATATAATTAGGTTTTTTTTTATATTAAATTTTACTGTTCTTGATTAAATACTCGTTTTTCATTTTGAAATTGAAACAGACCCTTTTTTTTTGTTACGAAAGTAAGTAAAATTTGAATATTTGTTTGGATAGAAGATTAAAAAAATTCTTTCGCAAACGACTATCTTTTTAATTTAGAATTTTTGATTTTCTTATACTAAATCCTACAAAGGAATAATAAAAACCCCATTTATTTCGAAGATAATTAATGAATTATTTAAGCAAGGTTCTAAAGAATACTATTGTTTCAAATTATTATATCTTTTACAAAATCAACTACAAAAATCTCTACGGAAAACTTTTTATTTTTGCTTTTAAGTTAAAATAATTTTAAATTTAATAGTTATGCCAAGTTCTTCCAAACAATAACAAACGAAGGTATATACATACATATTTCTAAAAATATAAATGAAATATTCATAATATATATTTGTAATAATTTTTAGAGGAAAAAAAAGCAAAAAAAAATTTAGTTTTTATAATGGCTTACATAAAAGCAAACATTTTAATTTAGAATTTACAAAATTCAGTTTACTAAGTTCTTCTAAACAATGGTAAATTAAAGCGCTATATAAATTCATAATAGTTCTTATAATACATTATTAGTTTACAAATAGAAGATCTTAACATATATTTATTTATTAAAATATATTTATTAAAACATATTTATTTTTAAATGTATTTTTTTGACAAAATAAACTAATAGAAAACTGCTCATGAAATTTGAATTTTTTCAGTATTGGTTCGAAATTTCAGTTTTTATGTTGATTAAAGTATTTAGAAGAAGTAAATTTTATCAAATGCGCACACATCATCCAACAAAGGCTAAGTATCTAGCCTCGTCTTCATTTTTCAGCCATCGTAGGAATGCCACGCAATTTTTTCCCGGACAAACAACGTGGACAATACATAAGTGGGCACCATTCTCTCCAAACTTAAACACCACAACCGACGGTAGGACTTTCAATCACGGCAAATACAACATACTTCTTTCTGCGTACACAAGCCGCTTGTTTAATTGGCAACCAGGGTTGAACTCACGACTCACAGCTGACCAGCAGTGGAGAGCGTGATTCTTTTACCAACTGCACCAGATTAAATGCACTTTGTAGGTGCACATTAGATGTAGATGTGTGTTGGTTTGTTTTTTGTACATTTCATTGCGCAGTGCTTGAAGAGTCTAGAATGTATCTCAAAAATAATTATTAATGCTACATTAATAAACGTAAATTAATACTACATTAATAAACTAAATAGAATTAATTTGAGATCAGGATTTTTTTAGGGTCTGCAGAATTTTCCGCTCTCTATCAGGAAATTCTAAAACATCACGAGACTCGGCGTGTCTACTTTAAAAAACGATATGGAAGTCGAAACTTTTCAATTGGGTTACATATGTTTAGAAAGAAATACTCAAAATAAATTTGATGTTATAAATGTTTAGTTATTAATTTCATAATAAACGTGCTTACACAGCAGAAAAAATTACGGATTAATATATGCTAATCAACAAAATCCATTTTTATTGTAAAATATTTTACAGTAATTTTTATAGTAATATTTATTTAATTAGATTGATTCAGTGATTTTACGGTAATTATTACTGTAAAAATTACGACACATCAGATTTTTTGTTCCGAAACATCCTCCAAGTAAAAATAAATTTTGCTGTATAAAGTACCGGTACTCCAGGTGTCTATACTTTTTATCATAATTTGAGTCGGAATTTTGTTACTGTGTAGCTCTAAATAATCAAATAAATAAAAACATCTTCATGTGCATATAAAATTCTATCATATCTTCATTATATCTAGCATTATAAAATTACCATAGTCAATTTTTTTCGAAAGAAAAATACTTTCGTAAAGGTGAGTTTTTCTCAAAATATTTCCCTTTCGTGTTTAAAAAAACTTATTATGTGATAAATAATGAGTTAAAAAGGTTTTCATAAATTAAAAGTTTTCAAAAAGTTACTTCTGAATAGTGTAGATTAAAGCACGTATTAATCTACAAATTTCAATTGCGTCTTTATGAAGCAGTATTATTCAACCACATTCTATTAATGCTTCAAAAACTATTCATCCTATTTCCATTTAGTTTTCATGAGTATATCAAATTCTATAACTTTATTTATATCTCTAATTTTTAATTTTATATATACTTCAAAAACACATTTTTTATGCAAAAACTAAAGAAAAAAAACGAACTAGTAAAAGTTAATTAAAAATTAACAAATACTGATGCCGAAAAGCTATTAACACTGCATTGTAATGAATTTGATTTTTCCAAAAAATTGTTTTATAAAAAATATTTGAAAGGGAAACAAAGAAATATTATTTTCTTCTTTTTTTCTTTTTTTCCCATTGCCATTGATAAAAACTGAATACGTACTAAATTCCCTTCTTTTACTGAAAACCAATCTAAAGTTACAACTGACCGTAAAAATTAAGATTTTTTTAGTAATTATCTCTCTCTTTTTCTTAAAAAAAACAGCACACAGCAAAGGGAGTTAATTAAATAAAGGATAAAAGAGGTAACAAAGTGTATCCGAAACTAGTCTAGAAAGGAAAAGGTTAATTTTCAATTAAGCATTATTCTTTGAAGTTTTTGACAATTAAAATATGTAAAGCATCATTTAGTACATAATTTTACTTAATTAAATCATCTTTGATGCTACGAATTATTCTAAATACCATTTTGAAGAAATAAATCCTAATCTAATTTTATATAATGGATAATTGCATTACCACAATTATAATGAAGTAAACATAATTGTAAAGATGGTAATATAATTGTTTTTATAATCAAAAATATGCTGATCACCAATATTTTCAATCCAATGATTTTCTTTTAAATAGTGCAGTTTATAAAACCGGAATGACCTTATATAATAGTTTATACCTATGTATACAATAGTTGTGATTTCTAGTGATTATAAACTTGTATTAATTTAAAACGAAAATGTCTTATTACGAGAGTACTTTTGCCTAAAACTAATATTTCTTGATTATTTAGAAATACAAAAAAAAACATTAATTTTCCGTAATATTTACTATATTTAAAATGTCGAACTTTTGTCTATTTTTCAGCATTATGACGACGCCTGTTGGTGGATTTTTGCAAACTTAGTAACAGATTTTGTAAGTCCATGTCATACCACTTCCCCAAATGGAACTTCATCTTTCACCCCGTTATCGTATTTTTAATCGTTTCAACTCTTCTTTAACAGTTTCAATGGTAAATCCTACTTCATCCACACTATTCTCTGGACTTAGCACTTTGTGACTACCAACTGTTTTCTAAGTGGTCAGAACGTTTGGATGAGCGGCGATTTATTTAAAAAAAGGGCGCGAATAATGAGATTCAACTCTTTATTTATCTGATATGACTGGGCTCACAAAATTTCTCACAGCTTCAACAAACGTGCCTCGTTCAAAAGTGCGATTACGTACATCGTAAAAAATTCCAGATCAACTAAAGTACCGACATTTGAGAGCATCATCCATAAAATCTATTTTACAGTAAAAATCCATATTACAGTACAATCATTTTTACCGTAAAATGTTGTATTGTAATTTTTGCAGTAATATTTATTCAACTAGAATGATTCAGTTACTTTACGGTAATTATTTCTGCAAAAATTACAGTCAGATGTTTTGTTCCGTAACCTTTTCCAGTAAAAATGGATTTTAGGGTAAAAAAATATCGTATTTGATCAGGAATTTTTGTACGGTTTTTATGAATAGATGCATTTTAAACATTTAAACTTAATTACTTGTAAAACAATCATGATTATTTTTTCGATTTAAAAATAGGGAACTTTAGCCCAATTTTAAATCGAAACAAAAGTCATGTTAAATCAATTTATGTATTTTTATTTTTATTTTCACATTGTACTATATCCATGTTGAGATATTTATCTGTAAAAAATCCTCTCCAATTCATTATTTTGAAACATTTTTATATTGATCATTAATTAATGTCGTGAATAGGATCATTACGAGGTTTATTGTAGTCGTAGCTGTAAATATGATAGCCTATTACTAATGAAGTCCACATGAAATAATTTCGGTTAAATACATTGAATGCAAATTATTGAGTGCTTTAGATTAGTGAGAAATATCTATACATTCACGTGATACGTAGAAACGTACTGGATATTTAATCTCTTAGCCTTTGAATAATTAGCTAATATCAGTCGGATAGAAAGACAATAAATCAATATCAAATATGATACGATCATTTAGAATAAGTAATTAGAACCCAGAACTGACACTAATTCGTGTATGCGTTATGATACAATGTTTCAATACTTATTGTTAAATTTTTT